GTCATGCCACAATATACAGAGACTTTCCAGCTGACCTGCAGGCTGTGTTTAGGCGGGGCAGATAGCAGAGAAGTATGGAAAATCTATAAAAATGTAAGATGTAAAATATTTACTGGATGTAGAGTCATCATTTTTTCCCCAGTATTGATAACACCTGTGGGTATGTGGAAAAATATTGTACATGCTGATCCCTGTTTTTTTTTCTCCAATCAAAAAAAAAACAAAACACATAAATAAAAACAAATAAATCTGATATTTATTTATTTTTTACATGTTTGGCATTGCAACTGTGCCATCACGCAAAAAATATATTTTTGAGTTCTCTTTACTTCTACCAACGCTTCTGCGGTTTCCATTGAGGTCTTTGTTCAAATTTCCCCACTGTGGGATTAATAAAGGCTTCTCTTGTCTTCATATGGTACTAAAATATGAGCCTTCAGTAGGTAAAAATGTGACAGGAACAAAAATGTCCAAAAGCTACTTGCTGTTCAGAGGGTTAAAGAGCAGATGTGTTCATTAAATGTAATATATTTTACTGTTTATATGGTAAAATTGGTCTGGAACTCATTTATCATAACTATAAAACACCATAAAGAAACAGACACACATGTATTTAGGCTGCCAATACTAAACTCAACTAGCATGTTGACATGGTGAATTATTAGTGCAAACAAACAGTTACCTTTCTCGGACACAGCGACAGAGCCGACCACCACCAGGTCCACCTTCACCTTTGCATCCAAGTCAACAGGCTCACTGAAGTCTTTCACACCCTGAAGGACGTTCAGAAGAAATGAAGAATAAAAAAATAAAATAAAAACTCGACTAAAATTAGTGAAAATGTTGATAAAAATGTGTAAAAATCAGTAGATTCAAACCTGAGAGGAAGAGCATATGCGCAGCTGCTCTTTGCTGGCTCCTTGGGGAGGAGTAATCTTGTTGAAAAGACCAGTACGGAGACGAGGAGTTGGGACCAATAAAGTTTTCCTTGCCTGTGAAGAGTAGCCCAAAAAAATGCACAACCAAAGGTGACATGGCTGCGAGTGGTTTGTGAACTGGTTGAAAATCAATGTTCAGATATTATGTCACACATGTAAAGCACTGATGTGTCAGAAATGCCACTTTAAGAAGTGAATCAGAGGATGTAAAAGAGAAACTTATAATCATATTTAGCAAATAGTCCAATAGAGGATTTGCTCATTCAAACCTCTACATGTAGGTCAAACTGAAATGGGAACAAAACAGGCGAGAGAGCAGAAAAAACGTTTCATAATACAGCCTAAGGCCCTCTGGTTCTTCAAGTTTCTTCCCACAGTGCTTTGCTACCTGTAGCACTGCCAGCCGGGCGCTCTCCAAAGGTTTATCAGGATCCACCTTCACCTCAGCAGTCTGGGTAAACGCCGGCAGATCCGACACCTTGGCGCAGGCCCCAAAAGCCCCCTAAAGAGAAGAAAAAGGAGGGCATTCGATTTAAGTCAACTTACTTCCAGAGTGACAAAGCGAGCCTGCTGCTGGGGTCTGTCTGGGTTTACTTTGACTGTCTGGCTCTGCTTGAACTCCTGCAGGTCTGCGAGCCGGTTGCATGCTTGAATTGCACCCTGGCCATTAAGCACACAGGAGGAGAAAGACATGGGCGCACACACAGGACAGCCATTAATCACTCGAAATTAAAGATAAACAGTCAGAAGCCGCCGTGCAAACCTGACTCCTCGCTGGAGTCACTGCTGTAGCAATGATTTTACATATACGGCCATTTAAGCATTTTTCAATTAGTCATTTACAGAACACATGCTGA